CAAACATTGTTAATCATTCCAGAGATACTGTACGACATCTCTGAGATGCATCTGTGCAGAAACAGGTTTTAAAGCACGAATACCAATTAATGCTGCTAGCAGTTCCAATCGTGGAACGGCAGCTTTTTACTGGCTCTTTGCGAATATTGGTTTGGCATTAGCTTTTCCTTCAATTTCTTCTCAAATAAAGATTACAGCCGCATAAGCCTTTGTGCTGGCGTCCATAAAAACATAGAGCTGTTTTGCGTTAGGCATTCGATTGTCGAACAATTTCCTCGGCACTATAAAAGTTGTGCCTTTCCATCCTATTAAATTAATTTGCTCGCTCCTGTCTTTGTGTTTCAGCTGGTCGTCTCAGCGATAATCTTTTTCCACTAGTCCTGCATGTAGATATTTAATGGATAAATTATAGAAACAATCCGCTTTAGTAGATCAAATATTGAAGCTATGTAGCTCAGTAATTCCCGCTTTGTTGTCTTCTAGTTTTCAGTTCTTTGAATAGATATTTCAGCAAGTTACTAGTAACTTGGTATCTGGTCTGTTTACTTCTTACCGATCTTCCTGCACAATATTGTTATCGAATTTTTTGCCATTCGACAGATGTCTCCTTAAATTCATTCGCGCTGCTGCTGAAGTATTTTTCATCTCTCGATAAACTTTTGTCGCTAATTCTATATTTGACGATCACCAAATTATCCACATACAAATTTTTCAAAATTTGTAATATTTGAATTTGTGATATCTTGAAATAATTTTGCTAAAAGGAAGGAAACTCATTCGAAACGGCAAATCTCCAAATTTTTGTCAGGGGGAGGTTCTTTGTAGTTTTTCAACCATATAAATCTTGCAACATCTTTATCAGTGCTTTCTCAACATTCGCAACAATAATAATTTTTGGTATTCGGAATAGAAGTATTCCGAACAAGTCAGGTGGCAAGACGAAACGCGAAGTAGATAATCTTCAAAATCTAATAAATTAAGGCTTCAAATTCCTTTCATCTTAGCGAATGCATCGAAGACAGTTCGCAGTTCAGTGGTAGAGTTTTTAGGGGTGATAAGTGGATGATGAGATAAGTAATGAGTAGGCCCTTACGCTCCATTTTCTGGCTTTTCAGCGATTCCTTTTTTCATTTGCTCCCTAAGTATTTCACTATATCTTTTCATTAATTTTGGTTCTACTCATGGTTTATGCCATATAGATCTTAAGCGCCTTAATGATAAACCAAAAATTGTCGATCTTCAAATTGGAGGGTCTTCAAATTTTCATACAAAGCTGACGGAATATCGTCCACCTTCTCGTTTT